AGTACACACCCGTCAGATTCCTCTAACGTCAGATCATTTCTTTATTCCGTATAGGTCAGAAATTTGTTCCTGGTAACGAAACAGTAATTATCGTGATACCTTGTCCCTCAAATTCCGCATTTGTCATAATTTGTCAGTTCTTTTTTGTGAGAGTCAGAATGGCGGGTGTCTCTTAACAAATCCTGACAAAATTGTATCAAAAAATTTATGCTTAAAAAATTTGTACGTCCATCAGAACAAAGTTATATCAATATTAAAGGTATACCCGCCATATTGACGATTTAGTACACATCCATTCAGAATGGCGGGTGTATCTCAAATTACCAGTTTCTATTTCATCATCATCTAACTTAAGATTTATACTTTTGTCAGTGGAGCATCTTCCAATGATCCCTCCTATAAGCCAACTCCTTGACCTCCTTATATGACCCGAAACCGGCCTTTTCCGTTATTTTTGGTCTATATAGCTGCGCCTAGGTCGACCGCTTCCCCTTTTCCCTTCGATTTTTCCTTCCAAAATGGTCATAAAGAAGCTGTCTTGTCGTATCAAATATCCAATCATTTTACCGTGTCTATTCTCTATAGTATCGAGGATCGTTCTCTTTTCGTTTACCATTCTCAATACTTCCTCATTTGTTTTCTTTTCCATCCAACTACGCCCTTTGTGACTCATGGACACTGGCAAAAAGAGATATGGAAAGATTAGAAGCTTTTAAGATGTGATAAAAGTGAAACAAAATTAGGAAATGGCAATGTAAAGGCCACTTCAATTTAATCATAGATAAAAATAAATAATATACTTAGTATATATACTAAGGAGATAAATTTCTGACCTGTTGGTTGTCCACATTCGTCATTCCTGACGAACCTGACATGAAATCATGAAAAAAACTATTTCTGACGAAACTGGAATATGACCGTTGTGTACTAAATCGTCAAAGGACACGGCTGTCGGTGAAATTAAAATTTAAGTAAAGGCAAAGATAGAACATTTCTATGTAAAGAATCGATTAATATCAAGTAAAGACAATACTAAATATATGTGTAAACGAGGCTTGCACCTCAACCACGGTGAGGTTGGTTTCGGTCTGCGGAGCGTGGTCGAGTTTAGATTGCGGGGTGCGCTCGGCCAGCCGGTAGTAACGAATTGTATGTGAATAGAAGAAATGTCGAATTTCACAATTGAAATATATTATTAACCGACTTCAAAAACGATAACTCGCATCTGTGAACCGATTTCTATGATTCTTTTTCTTTGGAACGAGGGTACCTCAGAGGTCCCATTTAAATTTGATGAGAATATTTCACCTTTATGGGTGGAAAACTAGGGGATACATTTGAGGTCGGTTTTTTTAGTATGTACCTACTCTGTATTGAGATTATTTAGTAAATACTAAACGAAGTTTCATAAAGTAATGTAAGTGATAGGGTTACAGAACAAAACAATTGCATCGTTCTTTGTAGGACTCAAAGATTCGGTTCCGGAATTTTCCTGCAACGACCTAATCGGACTTAATAAAATATTGTCAGTGCTACTGTGCATGGAGCTCCTTACTTTTTCTTCTTAAAGAGAACTCGTCAAAAACATTGCTTTAAAACAAAATAGTGATAATTTGTGTTAATGTTTTTTAACCATTTATATATTAAGTGGCTTATTATATTTTATTCAACATCCATTTAAAAAATATTGTACACTAATAATGTAGGACCCTGTACGAATAATAGAAGGAACAATACTAGGATTCAAGCTAAATCTGGATTTATAAGTGAAGAGGTTTAAATATATTTATGCGAACAAGAATGTCGTTGGATAGATATAACATTTGTTTCTGCGGCATCTACCATCTTTTAACAACGGCATTTGAAATTGGATTCCTTCCTTAATCACCACTACGTGACAATTAACAAGAGTCAAATTTTGAACTCAAATTGACATCCAGAATTAAACTTTTTGGTTACAAATAACGCAATATCTTTACTAGGTTTTAGTAGCAGTAGAGCTCCTTGTGAAAGAGTTCGTCTAGGGAAGTACTGCCACGTTACCTATTTCTGTCGCCAAGCAGTAATGTGAACATTACGCGCATTAGGCGCAGTGGCAGTGCCCCTCTGATTTTTGCGATTTAAAGCATTGAGTGGCACTGCAACTGTTATGGACGGGCGTGTAACTTACCATCAGGCGCACGACTTGTTCGTCCCGTCACTTGATATTATAAAAAAAACAGGAAATGCTTCCATTTCAGACACTAGAAGTAAAAGACGTTACGTGTTACAGAAACAAGCGAATACGAAGCGATATAAAGGACTTAACAGAGAATCCCTTGTAGAAGTGAGCAATCTCGAAATAACCTACAATTGAAGCGACCTTACCGATCAATATGTACAACAACAACTTTAGAACATTTATAAATTTATAGACTCAATCAACGTCGCTTTACCACTCTGTAGGATATTAGCAGGTACAATTATTTATTACCTATCTTCCGAGACCAATATAGGAGGCGTACCTTACCGGGAGAAGTATAAAAAGTGATTATAAGTTTCCCACTATCGTTCTTATGTTTTCTCATTACATTTTAAAATCCCATAAGTCCACATTTGAAGGTCGGTGTGTGTCCACAGACTCATTTGGGTAGTCTGTTACAGTCCTATCTTCTTTCATCATTTTCCAAAATCATAGATATGCCTATTATATGATATGATAAAAGCATAAACACATTAGGCGGCTGCTAACCCGTATACGTTACAGATGGGATATCAGCAGTCATAAAAAATGTACTAAATTCAATGTTTAGCGATACGCATATCTGACGTTACGTGAAAATCATACTGTAGATTCTCCATAGATGGTAATATTTTTTCGTTTGCGTATTTTCTTAAAATTCAGGAAGCTTGTAGAGTTACTGGATTTTGGAATAGATTTCAAAGCCACCACACAAAAATGGCACAATTTTTTCATATGTTACATTCCCTTACCTGACTACAAACACGCGAATATTAAATGCTAGCTGTTATGATTAATCAGTTCCTTTTTATTTAGTATAATGTTAGGTAATGAAAAATAATCATTCTAATAGTTTTTCGTCTTGGACGTGAAACTGAGTCTAAAAATGACACCCTTGATGTAATAAGGCCATATTTGCAACTGATAACTTATAAAGTTAAAGGAGAGAAGTTTAAACGTTCGAATTACAATTTAAAAGAAAGACTTTTTTTAACGCAAATCCATTCTTTTATAGAATGTATAATTTTATATTATTGACGAATTATTATTATTATTGTAGTATTGACGAATATTTTGAACTTAGGCGTTCTAAAATAATTTAAGAATAATAACAATACATTTATTTCATAAAATTCTAAATTATTATTAAATTAATATTTTAATTGCGTGTGTGTATGCGCAAATCTAGTTGCAGTAGAGCTCCTTGTGAAAGAGTTCGTCCAGAAACGTACTGCTACCTTACATATTTCTGCCGCATAGCTGTAATGTGAGCATTAAATTAAAATTAATTTATTATTTTTTATTAGTAAGTTATTATTGTTGTTATTATAATTTTTTATGCCACTCAGAGCTTTAAATCGCAAAGATCTGATGTGCACTGTCAACGACCATCACCCTGAGACATAAGTTGACAAGTCCCGTATGCCTGTAATTTCACTAGCACCCTTAAGGTGAAATTGTGAGTAATGCTCACATTAGTGCTTGGCGGCTGAAATAGGTAAGGTGGCAGTGCTTCTCTGGATGAACTCTTTTCCAAGGAGCTCTACTGCTACTAAATATATAAAAAACTGCTATTATACCAAGGGTACAAAATATGAATGTAATATGACAGGCACTCCTTCAAAAAACCGTTTTTAACCGAATTGAATTTGAAAATGAGCAAGTCCTATCATGGAATCCGTACAGTCGTAAAACGTGGCTTCACAAAAGCTAGCATCAGATAAGTGTGCTTCAATTTATACGTAACAGAAGTGTTGTCGCTTCATGTAGCCTAATTTGTTTCAGCGTTAAGGTTTACTTAAAATTGTTTTATTACTTTTTAGACTTTGACGGTAAAATGCACCTACTATATACTCCATTCAATACCACATTAAGTTGATATTACTGAATATTTATATAAATTCTTTATTATATGATTACAACATGAAGAGTTTCACGTAGATTTTTTTTTCATAGCAGTCTTTTGTCAGTTTTTAGACGACATAATAATTTGTTACTGCTATATTATTTACTGTTATTTTATAGCATTTCAATGAAAAAAGCAATTTGAATTAGTGAATGATTGAAGGTGGACGCACACTTCATGCGCCGATCGTCAGTTATGATGTCATCAGCCTCAGCGGGTACAGCACTGCCGCGCTCCTGTGCCTCCACCCTTTGGGCGCGTTCCATTATACATTTTAAGTAATTAGTTAGAAATAAAAAACAAATGAAGTGTCTAAGTAGGTACTTAAATAGTAAAATTATTTGTAAACTAGAAATAGTTGGATTTTTAAATGTTTAACTTTATGATAAAGTATTATATAATACTGCATTTAATACACCAAATATAATGTGACAATTATATTATTTAAAAGAGAAAATTGGTTTTAACACAAGCGTTTCGAAACTCGTGTACACTTACTAAGTGATAAATGACGCAGTAATATTATTTATTAGAATTATAAAGATGGTATCACGTCTACTATCACAGAATATTATTATTTCGAGAATATTAAAGATCCAGCGATTATTAATGGGCATATTTAAGACCGCATAGTGTGGAATCACCTATATGGACAAATTCCATTGTATGCAACTCTACATGACACATAATTTGGAAAAACGAGAAACAATTTTACTTGTTAAGTAATACAGTAGTTTAACATCAAAATGGACTTAATTCTTATGAACAATATTTGCATAAAACACATTTCTTCCATACTGTTTAAGTAGAATTTATCTCGAGAACGTTGTCTGTCACGCTACTTCTCTGGCAGTTAATAAACGTGTATCAATAACATTAATGTTAAAAACGTAGGTTCTTGAAACAAAAAACCGATATATGTGAGTTCTTGGTCAAACAAAACTTATCGCCATAGCTCTTCGCGAAGTAGAGTTTAAATGTGTCTATAAAACATTTAGATTTAATGTGATTTGTAAGTTACTATGTAGGGTTAAGAAGGTACATATATAATATAAAGGAGAGACATCTCGTCTTCCAACTAGCGATCAAAAACGTATTGTAGAAATTCACAACAATTCTATGCCACAAGAATTGTACAGTAACAACTAGACAACTTCATATATTTCTCTTCTTAATTTAAATAGATACATAAAAACGTATTTCCAGTCGATTAATGTTAAAACAAATCACTCGGTACTAAAACTACCAGACGGGCAAAGTTGAAAGGAAACAGATACACGACTAACTTCAGGTGACTTCAACCGTGAGGTGGTTACTATCGAGACAGCACTAACATTCCAATATTCACTAAACTGTGCGTTTATTGAATGTTTATATACAACATCGCCTATAGTTCGCTCGCGATTAAAACGAATGGCCTACAGTAGAAAAACTCCGCACACAATATAGAGTTCCGTTTCGAGTCGCGTGGACCAAAACCAGCCGCAGTAGAACCCGGGTGTCGGAGAAGGAGGCTCAGGCGTAACGGCGGAGCGGAGGGGGGGCCAAGAAGCCCGCGGCGCCGCCATTATTTGCCGCCAAGGCCGAATTTCATGAAGATGAGCTCCTTGCCTTTGCTTAAAATATCACCGCCTGGAGCTGTCATCTCGGTGAATTTCTGCATGAGGTTGGGCTGTGATGTTGGTGGCTGCTGTTGTGGCGCGGTGGCGGCGGCTGTTTGCAGCGGTTGCGCGGTGGGGGCGGGGATGACGGCGGGTCCGGCGCGACGCGCGCCTGAAGGCGACGTGCTAGCGATGCTGGAGCTGCCGAGTGTCAGCGTGGCCTGCGTGCCCGCGACGCCGCCGCTGCCGGCGGGGGATTGTACGGTGGGCGTGCCCGTGTTACCAGCGCTCGTGCGCGCGATCGTGCTCGCCGGCTGAACGATCGCGCCTCTCGCCCTCGCCTGCATCATACCACACTTGCTCTAACTCACCATACTTTTAAATTCGTAAGCGAAGGACTCTGATAATTTAAAAAATATTTCATATTTTTAAAAGACATTTGCTCGTGATCTGCAACTCAATGAAGTCGACGACATGAGCGAACGTACCAGGTATTAATATTTTATAATCTTTCCGTGTTTCAGAGACAAAATCATTCGCTTAGTTTGGGTTAAGCAAAGAAGACATTTTCTATGCAGTATTGAAGACTTGTTTTAAAAATGAAATTGTATTTTATGAACTGCTGTGCTCCATAGCTCAGTAAAATGATTCAACAAGTTATATCTTTAAAAGCAAATGTACTAAAGCTATCAATGTGACTTTTCTGTAACGATTATTATCTCTACTTTGTGTCTATTGGCAACAACTCTGTTAGGTTTGAATATATTTTCTTATATAAGCGAACTAGGGGTACATAATATACAGTACTTTATTTTTAATTAACAAAAATGCTGTGAAAATTCGATATTTAAAACATATGTATAATAAAAATGTGCAGTATTGGAAACATGCATTGCCATACAACAAGCGGGTGATGCTTAAAATATTGAAAGTTAAAAAAATTAGCACATTTCGAACCTATGTTTTCAACAAAAACATTTTCAGAGAAACATTCGTACAGTACAGTACATTCACCATGCTTCATTTAACTACAACAAAAAGCGTAAAGAAAGACAATACTATTCGGTTACATAGAGACAATGAGTTCTTAATAAAACTGAAAAATTTTAATCATTGGTAGACGTAATCGCATAGTAAAGACCACACTCACAGGCTTCAGAGAAAACGACAGGTGAATGGTTATGGTTTACTTGATGTGAGTGAAGTAACGCCAGTGTCTGTACTGTATTAGGGTTCTGTTCGGTCTGGCCCGGAAGATGGCATGATAATTATCTAATGAAGTGTCCCACTGTCCCCCAATTGCAACATAGGAATATATTTAGGTTAATACCAGACCCCGCACTGAGCGTAATGAAGAAACTCAAGAGAAACAAATTAAAATGAAGAAAAAGGAAAAAGTGAAAGTAAAAACTATAGACATGAAGTGATAATTGAACAAAAAACGAGTATTATCGTTGCATAGTATATCTGAAAGTATTCTTGTGGGTCGAATTATAAACGGGTATCTTTTACCTGAGAATTCGCCTGTTCTTGGTTACTGGCGCTTGTGTTGTGGTCTAACTGAGAAGGGGGAAGAGGGCAGGCATCTAGCAAACAGACAATACACACAACATATAGTGACCAGAGACATACGCTGAAATCTTGGATCACACCTCACACACATCGCCAGTGGGCAGTGCGAGAACTATGTTGCGTGTAATTGTACAGTCGCCTACCCACACTTGCTTTAACATGTACTTTTTGTTAGAATTGCCACCTGTGGTGCTTTGGGTATCGCCAGTACGGCCCTATGTAATGTCCTTTATGTGCACACCCCTAAAGGTTATGACAAGTATGGGATAGACTACTTACATTTTACTGACTTATCACAAGTTGGCTGTGTTTAATAGTAAGAAGTTCCTTCATTTCGGTCATCAGTTCTAAAGTAACACCAAAGGAACTGTATGATTCAATACTTTTATAAGTAATGACAATTATTTTCTCGTTTTTTCTCGCCATATATTTTTGTAAGTTTATGTCGTATTGTTTACGAGTAGGAAATTTGTGACCGAATGCAAATAACCTTCAAATCTTTATTTTTGTAAGTTTATTTATCTAGTATTTCTCATAGTAAATGAATGTTTGTATTTTGTTTTGCGAAATAAATATCTTAAAGTTGTCACAAAAGTGAGAATTGGGACGTTGTTGAGGTGGCAATCCTGTTTTAAGTTTCAGATAAAATAAAGGACCGAGAAATAAATAAAAAAAGGATAGACAGGTGGATAGACGCAGACAAAAACATAATAAGGTATCTTCCTAGACAAAGTTGCACCGTATCTCATGTATTGAGTTCAATTTGTGTCTCAAAGAATTATATTTATTTAGATAATTTTTAATACCATACTAAATTAATCGATGTATGTGACTGTGTAATCCAAGATAGTGTCAATTTAGCAAGTGTACACCAAGAGTCTTTGTGCTCCGTAGATTGCAACCGGACTCGCTTTACATTCCGTTTTAAGTTTAAAAATAAAATACATTTCTCCTTGCAAATCGATAATTACCCGGATCCCTTGTAATAAGTTCTTAGTACTTGGTTTTATAACTTTAGCTCCTGTTAACGAAGTAAGGGGCAAGAAAAGGTTATAAAATACATATAAAAAACTTTATACGGTTTTATATGATAATTCCATCGTATCCTAAACTAAGGTATACCTTACATGACTAGACGGCACTATAACAAACAAAACCGTATTTTTGACGTTTTTTCGTTCGACAAAGTTAAAACGGAATGTATTTATTTATTTCAATGCAGTAACCAGAGTCCCATCGCAATCTTAAGTGTACAGGAAAGACGGTAGAGGATACGAGGAGCGAATAGCTAGCTTCTCTTTCACATAGCAAGTCCAAGGTGCAAACATGAAACACTCAAAGCTCTCAGTGATTATTCTGATCATTTTCACCGAACTTACCTAACTTTTTTTTTCATACAGCTAACAGGGAAGGTAACTATGACAGATTCAGTTTTTTGGAAGCGGGAGTGACTGATGTCAGAGTTTCGGCTATTGGAAATAAATATTTTTGACCATTTACAACGTTTGTTCCTTTTAGCTACGACGGTATCCGCCGTACTCGTTTAGACATTTGTGATTTTGATGTGCTTAAAATTAACAGTCATCGAAAGAAATGCCAGCGCTGTAAGTTCATTTTGGCGAGATTTCATTTTATGAAAATATTGTGGAGTTATTAGTCACTGATCGCTCCCACTTCCATGACCAGAAACCAACAGCAAATACCGAAAAGCCTCGGCGGCTCTACACAATGAGAAGACAGAAACACACCTGTTTTTCGATGTTGGTTCCGAGGTGCTGGAGCCACGTTGTCGCGGGGAGGCGGTGGTGGGCCGCGCGCGCCTGGTCCAGGCGGTACGCCGATTACGCCGCCCCGCCCGCGCCCCGCGGTAATTCCCGCAGCACCTACAACCCCTGCTCTTCCTACTGCTCCTGCATACAGTATGTAATATTTTTACTTATCAATTTAAGTTCCTATTTCTATTATTCATTTTAGTTAGAATTTGTATTTATGTAAATACTTAAACTATTTATTCATATCTAAACTACAACAAGTAGATACATAAAAAACGTAAGAAAGTTTATAAATGGAAAGTTCATTTAATAGCAGTACAGCTCCTTGTGAAAGAGTTCATCCAGGGAAGTACTGCCACCTTACCTATTTCTGCGTTCTTACTGCGTTTATTACTGCAATCTGGTTTTGAAGGGTAAGGGTGTTGGTGAAGTTATAGGCACATAGGAATTTTTAACTTATGTCTCACGGTGATGGGCGCAGAGGCAGTGCACCTCAGATCTTTGCGATTTAAAGCTCTGAGTGGCACTGCAACTGTTATGGACAGGCATGTCGTTTACCATCAGGCGCACGACTTGTTCGTCCCATTACTTAGTAACATATAAAAGGTTTTATACATATTTTAAAATTACCACCACAGAGACATTTGGCTTACATTGTCAATAGGGGCGTAATCTGGTGACCGGACAATAAACACAAACATACACTACTTCACGCCCTTTTTCTATCGGGGGCGGCAGAAACTTATAATTGCTACGATTGATGCATTAATACAAGGGACACGCTTGTCGATTAAGGGAACTCTTGACCTGGCCTTTTTTAAGATCGTCCTCAATTTGGTCGTGGTAAGTTACTCGACTCAACTTTACGAATTTGCCCTCTCACACTGACCTTATGAATCTGTTTCGCTAATCTTCTATCATTTACACTGTCTATATTCGTCCGGTCCAACTGTGTAGAAAATCGAATTCTGCATCAAGATTATTCAGTCACTGACCTGGACCACCAGGCGCGGGTGCGTACTGATCACTGGCGTCAGCGAGGAAATTGCTGGGTACAAGTCCCCTCACGCCGTCGATCTCCGCCATGTAGAAGCCGTCGTCGTCCATTTCGCCATAAACGTGGATGATCTGACCCGTCTGGAAACTTAACTCCGCCTGGAAACATTGCCGTGAGGATCGGGTTGTTACAATCTTAATAACTTGAATTAAATTTCCACCAAACGTTTTAAATAAGTATAAACTTACGTCAGCATCCACATTTGGACTCAGTTCTTGTGGGTCATAATCATATAGAGCCACCATCCTTCGAACCGGTTGATTGGCATATGCGTCCGTCCACCGGTCCCTCGGCTTGGCAGCTGCTTGCCCCGTAACCTCCTGCTCCGACACTTCCACCACCATGTTGTGAGGGACGTATCCCCGACGACCCCGGCATTCGCCCCAGTAAAAACCATCCGCATCTTTGTCTCCCCAAACCTGAAATATATATTAAAATTGTTAAACGGTCACGTTGCACTACTAACCACTACATGTTTATCGCGACCTTTATCGGATCTGCTATCAACTTCAGGATGCGGGAATAGGATCCCCGAACAAACATGAGTGTTTTGTAAACCGCCCCTCCTCTAAACCCTAATTTCTCGACATTTATGAGAAGTTGCGATAGTGGAAGCTATTACCTCTAGAAATTATTTCTAACCTTGATAGTATCCCCTTCACTAAACGGTAACTCTTCATCACAACTTTCAGGGTTTGGGCTCATAGTCTGCGGATCGTAGTCGAACAGTGCAATGAAGAAGCGGCTCCTCTTCGACTGGGTGTGGCCCTGCTGTTGGTGACGAGCGCCGGGGACAGGGCCTCGAAGCCCTGGTTGCGGACCTCCTCGTGGACCGTATTGAGGTAGGCTGCCCTGCTGACCCTGTTGCTGTGATCATATGGTATGTTATAAATTGACAGTTTTTAATTTAAAAAAAAAAACGTGCAACATTTAGGCAAATTTTGCGTAGAAGGTGGTTCTATTGGAAGGAAAATTCAGAAGGCATTAGAATTGTAGCATGTAGTGGGCAAACATTACGGAGAATTGGAAATAGAAGAAAAAGAACCTGATGAGGGTTAGGAGGGCGGCCCCGCTCTTGGTGGTTCCTTGGTGGTGGGTTCTGGTATTGCTGCGGCGGGCCGGGGTACGGGGGCTGCTGGTTACTTGGGAACTGGCCGGCTGGTTGATATGGGGGTTGCTGCGTGCCATGGTAGGTTTGTGTATTCGGGTACTGCTGACCCGATTGCTGCTGCGACGCTTGCGCTGGTTGGGACGGTTGCTGCTGACGTCCGTACGTACCAACACATTAATAAGGTTAGATTTTCCATAACAAAGCCATCAGCAATATAAAGCTTTCAGCCATAACTCAATTTTTGGCGTTATGCGCTTCAAAGCAATAAAAATATTACCTTCTCCTCTTGGCGTTAAATAAACAACATTCCTTGTAGCTCTAGTCAACCCCCATGCACAACGAAAGCTAGCGTGCAGCGCTTACACTTGAAACCACATAATTCAATAGCAGATTTAAAGACATTGGTTCCAAAAAGTGCTTTTCAGCAGTTAGACAAAACGAAGTCGATTAAATAGGTTCAACAATTTAAATTGTTACTCTATCAGAATTCACCAATATAAAAGGTTACCCCGGTTAAGTATTACATTAACTGATTAACGGGCCATAAAGGTTCACTGAGTGTAACAGGTGTGTGGTTAGGTTTGTATTGAGTGTATGCGTCTAAGCCAAGACAACATGCAGGAACATTCAAACAAACACGCGCTGACATGCTCGTGATGATCTGTATCGAGTGCTTTGTAGGCCTTGTTCTGGCCGTCCTATCTGTCAATCTTCGGGGAATAAGTGAACGTGCTGATTGTGTATCAGAACCGGATCGTGTCGGGACGCGTGAGCCTGTGTCGAGTGTAGCTTCCAACATCGAGGACAGTACAGTAACAAGTGAAGATGACAACACAGAACACCGAGAAGTGGAAACTCGTGATTGGGAAAGTCCGCACAAAGTTGAGAGAGAGAGAGAGAGAGAAGAGAGAGCAAAGTGAATAGTGCTAGCACATGGAGAGCACATCGATGACAACTAGGAGAGATCGCAGACCTGCGGACGGCGACGCGTTGTCTCTTCATCCTCGCTAGTCAGCTCCTGGGCGCTCTCTTTAGTGATTTCGATGGCCGGTATCCCCGATTGCTGATACCAGTTACACCACATCATTCAATAATCACGCTTAGAACACATTTTGATTTCAAACAAGATAACAGAAAGTGAAATCAGATTGTGGATGTGCTCGAGATGAACGATGTCAATGATTTAATGAGTCGAAATAACGCAGAAGGTGAAGTGATTTTTGCTTTTTAATTGCAACTTTACTTATCTTTGCAATATTCATCAAAGCACATTGAAATACATTATATCAAATATTTAAGAAGCAGACGATTTTTGAAGCCGTATAATATTACGATTCATAATACTGATGCATACATATCTGTACGGTCAATATTCGTGGATAGAAGAGCTAGTGAATGCTATGTACAGATTAAGCTTGAAACGTGTAGTAAGTTCGCTGCCGTGTAAGTATCGACTACGGAAATTACAATCACTATAATTGAATCTATGTTAATATTTATTTTTCAACTTTAGACTTTAAAGACAGTGAAATGGTTTCGTGTGAATGTACCGTCAGTATAATGTAGATGATCGATATGTCAATTATGATTAAATTCTGTCTGTATGAGTAATGATGTAATTGGCTAAACATATTTTTTGTACCATTAGTTTGCTAAGTTAATTTGTAAGCTATGGTATCATTTTCTATAACATTCTAGTCTAGTATCCCAAATATTGAAAAGTTTTAGCAATTTATTTTAATAATAAAGTTCATGAATACACAAATTCTAAAAGTCTGTCTATAACTTCTATTTAAACATGTACGTCATTATATACTGTATTCAAAAATGTATTAGTTATGTATTGAAATTTCGAATAAGTAGTGATATTTGGAAAAATCAATACGCATTTCTTAGCTAACGGTTACTTTTCTTCTACAAAATTTTCCTTGACTACAGTCATATATAAAAGCATATCAAAGTAAATTCTTTGCTGATTATAACGACTACTATAGTATGTTTATGATACTATTAGAATACGGGCACACTGTGTAAAAACAAACTTAGAATCAAAGTAACTTAATGCGTAACTAAGAACATAAATAAAAATTCACTCTCAAACAAAACAAAAGTCCATTATACGCTAAAATAAAACAAGTGTGTTAAAATTTCATAAGGAAATAAAAAAATATAAATTTAAAGACGTGTTAAAATTCCTTACCGAAGGGGTTATTTTGTCGAATATACTCTTTAGGAGGCCTGTGCCGAATCCACTCGTAGGCTATGGAAAGGTGTATAACAGTTATGTGAGAGAGAGAGAGAGGTTAGGTTAGACTAAGTGACATGATATCATGAGCTCCATGGACGGCAGTCTGTGTCACAAAGTACAAGCTCTTTATCTTGTCTAGGTAGTATATCTGTAGGTGTCGTGCGTTGTTCAGGTATCGGCCAATAGCACTAGAGACTACTGATCTAGTCGCAAGCAGTATGCATTTAATTTTGAACGTTCGAGCCGAGTGCATAGCTATAGTCGATGGCGCGCGTGGTCGTGTCGTGTTTACCCTTCGGCAGAGAACTACTGGACATTTAGAAGATGCCAGCGACAGAACCACAGGAGATAGTATAAAGAGTGCAGTTTGCAACACCGATGTTACGTGAAGAACCGTTTGCTTTACTAATTATGAAACAAATATTGAACGGCCAACGCTATTGAAATTAATTACAAAACCACAAACAGTTCATCACGTAAGAAAAGAGCATATGACACTGATCGTTATAATGATAGCTAAGAAGACACAGACGAAGAAGACCATCAGAGATTAAAATCAAAATATGAAGCTCATAAATACGTAATCAATATCAATAAAGAAATACTTAATACACATGGCGAAACGAAACTTGAAGTTACACACAAATTATACAACATTGATTTGCAAACGAATGTAGACAAAGTGCTGTGCCAACAACATTTAGTTAGATTTGTTTAAAATGATAAAATTATTTGAGAACAAATTAAAATATTGATTAATGATGTTATTGATAGCAAAATGAATTACACACTAATGAAAGAAATCATGGAAAAATCAAGATTAATTCAAAAGACCGTGTAGGTCTCAGTTCGTTTGTTTCTTATGGAAAAATCTCATTTCATGTCAATAAAGAACGCAAGTAATTATTAAGAGAGTTAAAAAAGTGAGTGGTCACCTGAGCAGCGTGTTGGTCATGGCGGTTGCTTGTTGGGAATATTTCCTTATCAGAAAGATTTTCGTCGTGCTCAATAACTTGTTGATGTTGTTGATAAGGCATTGGTCTTTGATGAGGGCCTCGGTAGCCTGGAACTGGTTGATTAGGCCCCGGCCCTGGCCCCGGCCCTGGACCACGAGGCAGCCTTGCAGCAACACCACGAAGAACAGCCGGTGGAATCGGTGTTGGTGCACTGTCACTCGACTGACTGTCACGGGACTTTGTACGAACCTGAAATATAACAATAAGCGTTTTGTATCCTATCTCGAACTACTGAAATACTATAGGAATCATTACTTTTCTTAATATCAATGGTGTATAGTCAGTCGTCTTTTATACAGAAGGAGTGTAAGCGAATAGAATACACTGCGGATATACAGCTTTCATCGCACAAGCTACAAACACACTTACTGTGACACATTTCGGATTGAGGCCGATCAGCTTCCCGATATCGATGAGAGCGTGATCGCCAGTAGGAGAGTCGACATCTGTCACCTTCTTCCCATCCGCATAAACGGCGTATCCAGTGACAGGGCCAGAAGCCGGAGGGCGAAGCACTGGTTGCCATGTGACGAGGAGTGTCCCGTCTTGCGGCCCCGCTTCCACCTGCGACACCGCACCAATCACCACCACAATCCAGCCAAACGAACTAGCCAATTGGGTTGGAGCACTTATTCATGTCCAGTTTTAGTTAAACACTGACTAAGCCACAATGAGGGGAATTCAGACGACACAGGCAGGGTTCGCTATGCTAACGAGGTGACGGGGTAAAATTTTGCCCTGATGCTGGATTTATGGTTGCGATTGACGCGACTCTCCGAATTGGACGTGCTGTGTGCTGAGGTTGTGGTATTATTTGAACGGAGTAGGGCTGTGTTGGTCATGGTGAGTAAAATATACGGGCATTTGTCACACACTTGTGTAGCGTTGGAAAGCTTTTTCGTGCGTATGCTGAAATTGCTTTTACCCACTTGTTTAGCGAAGCAATTTCGCATTAATCTCTGTAGTCCAAAACTTTAGCCTAAATATCGAGTACGTCATTCTTTTGATAATTTTATAGAATTTTAGCGAAGGGAGTGTAAGTGTAAATTGTAAAATGGGTCGGAAAATCATGCTTGTTCATCACATGCCACATGTGAGAATGGCATTTATTTTACGTACCATAATTTCATTCGGTGGGTCTGGTAGGCCTTTGGGCAAAGTTCTGAAATCGGTGTAGGCTCCTGGGGCTTCTTCAGTGGGTATCCCCGATGGAGGTCCAGCCCGCAGATGTTTTGCTCTCACAGTCACACGATACTGAGTGCTCGGCGAAAGCCCTGTGATAGTATGGCGATATACACCTGGCTTCACAGTTCGTACCTGAAAAAAATTAAATGATAAACGAATAATTGAATAAATGTCATCCGAAATTCAATTGCTGAGTCTAACTTACTTCAACATTGTTAACGCAAACGACGTGCTGATGGTTTGAATTGGCTGGCAGCCAGGAAATTACTGCTTGAGAGCAAGTTACACCACTAGCTCGAACGCAAGTCGGGCCCATATTGGCTGTGTCCCTGCCAATTACCATAGTGCAAGCTGCGTCACGCGATGTTCGCCGAGTTACAGTCACTGAACGAACGCTGATGCGATGAGGCTGCAGAAAAATAAACGTAACATTTACTGATTGTATCTAAACCTAATGGATCAATACAATAACAAATGTTTTATACGTGTCGTTATGGTTATGAATATGGCAGATAACTAGAAGCGAACAGTGATCAAACTAAACTCTTAATCGGTGCTTTCTGAAGATGAAAGTGTCAATGACTCTACATTAACCAATAAACCGCTAAACACAGATAGATGTTTAATTAAAGGATCTTACCCGATTGGCATCGACGCCTTCGACTAACGCACGAGTGCGTTCAGAGGCCTTGACGGTAGTCTTGAGAACGCCGTCGACGTAAACGTGGTAGCTATCGATGTTGGCTTGCATGACTCCTTCGGGGGCCGTCCAGCCAATCAGAACGGACTTGTTGAGCTGTCTCTCCAGTGTCAGCTGTCTCGGCGCAGGCACTAGCGACGAGAAAAACAGCTCGGCTGTTCAGGTCAAGGAAATCGCGAACAGGAGCGCAGCCAGGCAGGCGAAGTGCGAGTGATATATGCGAAGAAGCGTGCAGCGAAGTCCAGTGGTAACGGGATGGGGAGAAAGGAACAAAGGATCAGCTATAAAACTATTTCATCTACATAATTATAGCTATGGTAAATCATTACCGTCGTCGGTCGTTAACTAGACTAAAAATTTAGATAAGCTTTTTTTAAAACCTCTATAATATGATAGTTGTAAGAAAATGGGAGTTTGATGCATGTGGATTTGCATGCGCCTATCGAAAGTATCAAACTTTATTTGCAATGCTTGATATTTTACGAACAGTAATAAATTTAAAAAAGTGAATAAAAGCATGGCACTTGGCATCTAGGATTGACTGTTCTATGAAATTGTATGAGACGTTTACGAAATTTTACGAAAAATATAAAGGATAAGATACTAAATTCTTTTAAATTATTATCATTAGTTAGGAATAAGTGAGTAGTGCAAGTGCAGCCGTTTGCTTACCATTGTCGTCATCTTCAGGCCCCTCACTGATGTCGGCTACTTCGCTAAGCCGGGCGACGTCGCGACTGATCGATATATCACTAATGGCTGTAGTGTTAGCCTCGTCTTCCCTTAATGTTTGTACAACCGCCTGAAAACCAGAAATAGCATTATAAATCTTTATCAACACAGATGTAAACACCAAAGCCAAACAATAAATAAATGTAAATAATTTCTTTTTGCCATAATAAATTACATCAATTATTGTATATTGTAAACGTAAGTAATCAGCACAAAAGAATCTGGTTTTATGGGCTGGCTCCTATAACGACAAACCTTAATTTCAGGTAACCAGGTCTCCACATACCTTGCACACAGCTTTTGAAGTAGAAAATAAAATAATAAAACTACTAGAGTGTTAAGTATGTTAGGTGTGTTAAGTAGGTATGGTAGGTATGCTAGTCGGAAAAGGTATACATAACATGATGTCCTTCGTCTTACCTAAGAGTTGGCTAAACTAGGCATAATAATAACAATTAATACTATACTAATCAACGATATTCTTACACTATTTTAATCAACCTCGTGATCGTCTTTTGAACAAAATACAAAATGCTTCACATTTTTCTCCGGCAATGTCACTCCAAAATCCATTAAAAACACAATATAATAAGCACTTGTACTCGTATTTTTGACTCTCATGAAATTACGTTCTATTCCATTTTCACACAAACAAAATTAATGCATTGCAGTTCAAAGAAGTAAAAACACAATAAATGCAAGCGTGATTATGTTTACAGTCGCGTCTCGGTAATAAATATTAATGGAAATGTGACTCTGTTAATTTTTTTAAAAGTAACATGAGTACAATGTTTATTTGTTTTGAAATACGAAGTTTGCTCGCTGTTCTAGATGAATTGTTTTGTTCTGTACCTTGTACATCATAGAAAAAGGTAATAAAATAATAATTTCAATATTCTCTTAGTTTCAGCAAACGATCATGATGGAAGACAAATGCGTAGATATGTTTACCGAATGACTTATAAGCTTACCTGGAAGGAGTCCAAAATTCTTCATCTCCTTCTAACTTCTAAAATAGATCACACGAAATGGTGTGATTTATTTTAGAAGTTAGAAGAATGATAAATTCATGATCTACTAATGACTAGACGTGAAATAGCTGGGTATACAGTGCGAGCCAGTGTGCGATTAGAAATGGCTCAATATTACAGCGTGCATTACTGTCAAGCAAGTGTACTGTTAAACGATTCCTTGTTATTGCTCCAGCTTTCGTATCGCATAGGAATTGCTTGCACTTACACGTGGGTCGTGAGATTTGTATTCAAAGTTATTTCACTCAAGCCAGCCTCGCGAGTTCGCGTTTGATGTCGCAACATTGCAAAATTTAAGCGCTTTCTCAACACAGTAACTCGTGTATAAACAGTGGATCCAAGTACAATTTTAGTTAATTTTCAAAGCAACTGTCGTTTGGCTAATTAGAAGCTCGCACTGTAAAAACTAGCACATAGGTAATTGCTTACCTGGTGAAATTCCAAGAGGTCGTCTCCAACCAGTCTCTGTACAAAGTTAGCAGGTACTAGACCTCTGCGTCCGTCTAACAATTCAGCATCTAGCATTGCCGCGTTTGAGTCTGGTGGACCCCAAACCAATAAATAATCGCCAGCGCAAATTGATAGCTCTCCTTCCGCACTTTCGATACTGAAAAACAACTTTAATCAGATATGTTCTCTCGAGAGCATTAGATGGTATATTGTACAAAGTGGAACTTACTCTGGGGGGTCGTAAGAGAAACGGGCAATGTAAACACAGCAGCGACCTTTACCCGGTATATCTAACATGTCTACTGTGGGAGGCACTACACCATCAGAAGGTGCACCTCCGTTCATGTAATGCGTTGTTCCACGCAATTGAGCTAAAATATTAATAGAAAATTTAGATCACTAAATGGTCATCGACACTGCACGTGTTCATATTTTTCTAGATTTTCTTTAGTCTTACCGTCCATATCAGGCATAATCCTTGACAAAGCTCGTGGGTTCCGATCATGGCTGCCAAATCCTGAATCTAAGCCTCCTAGTCTATCAGTTCCAAATTGGCTATCTAATCCTAAGCTCCATGACGCTTGGTGCGGCGTTACAGGAGTAGCTACTCTGCCCACTCCCGATGTGGTAGTTCCATATCTACCTAAACCGATATCAATATCATCTAAAGGTTTTAGTTTGATATTCATAGGATTTGTTCCTAAGCCGCTTGACAGCAGCGGATTCGTATAAGTTCCCGTAGTCCCATAGGGATTTGTTCCAGTTAAACTCGTTAGATTTGTAAGAGCGTTGCCTAGCCCGCTGGTGTAAGATTGTAATCCTCCAAGCGTATTTGAAATTCCACTTGGTAAACTGGTTTGAACGTTGTTCAAGCAGCTCGTTAACCCGCTGCCTGCCATTGTTCCTGTGTAAGTAGGGCCAGTCAAAACGCCTCCCAAACTCATGGCTGATACATTTCCGGTGAGATTTTGAAGGTTGCTCTGCAGTCCTGCTAAGGTGCTGGATATCTGTCCAATGTTGTTGACCAAAGGAGCTGTTACAGGGTTGGTGAACGTCACTTGATGTGTATTGGACAATCCGTAAGAGTTGGTGGAATACGCTGAGACTGGATTAGAGTAAGACGTTGGATTGTGTGCGCTCATGGAATAAGCAACGGAGTTGGAGCTGGGAGCGGTGAACTGGCCAGTGGCGTGAAGTGAGGATAGAGTGGGCATGGTGTTGCTCTGGCAAATGGCTACATGGCCCAACGTACTCGTGTACGAATGTGGTAGCGGCGATGGTGCTGGCGAATGGAATTCTCCTAGGGCCTGATTAGATCCACTTGGTTGCATGCCTGTGAAAACAAGACCGATATATTTAGCACGGTTTTATGCGACGGTTTGTAATGTAGCTTAACTATTTTAAGGTATGCATCCATCATGCTTACTATACCGGATACGTAATTAAGCTATTATGAACACGCGCCCCAAAACCCTAATGGAGGAATGCGCTCACGGCAGTGGCGATTAAACTGCTCGGTGTCATTAAGTTTTTGGTATAACTTACCGTGCGTGGTCGATCTAGTATGTTCAAGCTCTGCGAGGATGCGGTTGTCCTGTTCGATTTTGGCCATGATGCGTTCGATCTCGGACGCGGGTGCTGGCGTAGTTGACCACGTGGTGCCGGTGTTGGCACCTCTTGCTCGTAAAGATGCTGATAGCTCTAGCTGCAGTTCCTCGCAGCGCACTGTTTCTAATGCCGCCTATTAGAAAAATGAGGGTAGCAATTCAATCTTCTATTGTCTTTCAAAAATTTTTGGTAACGACGTTTGTATACGAGTATATTTATACATAATATTTGGTTAAACTATAGTAATGAAAAATTAAAATTGATAGTCATGTAAATATATTAGGATTTTTTTTCATATTCCGTGTTTGGTTACCACACAAAAAGTTATTCAGAATGACGAATACAACCTAGTTCATGTTATCGTTACACCGTTCCTTACACCCCAATATGGCCTCTCTTTGTCCCCCAGGATTAGTATTCACCAGCAGCCATAAGTAAAATAATGCTTTATAAATAAATATACTAGTTATTTTATGTACTACGGTAAGTACGCACGAAGCTTTTGCTTTCATGTTATATTCGCTAAGGTGTTGAATTATCGGAATCCTTCTTTCTTGAAGGGATACAACCTGTTAAGGGCATTTGCCCTTAAGTTCAGAGTGAACGGCATCTTTTAGGCCGCCTTAGGACTCCTAACGTTCTAATTGACATCTGGGTATACTTTAAGCAGGTGAATAAATGTGTGAACAAAGTTAGACATATCTCTTGCTTGAGACGGTACCTTTTTCTCCAGCTCTCTAACCCTGGACTGTAGGGTTTCTACGTTGTGCGCGTCGAGCGGGTTCCTTTGCGCGTTGCGGAGGTGCGCGAGCGCGTCGGCGTGCGCGCGCTCAGCGTCAGCGCGCGCGCGCTCGGCCTCGCGCAACCGCCGGGACACGGAGTCCGCGTCGCCCACGCCAGACATCCCGCCACTGTAGTTCATGTTCTAAAACAATACAAAACACAATTCAGTAAACTTAAATCTGAACTTTTTTTATAAAAATGAAAACCTCAACCGTTTGCGGAATTACATATATTTGCCAAATTTTATTGAAATCGGTTAACCGAAAGTGAGTGAAATTCTATAAACCGTATTCATCCCCTAATTTGCCACCCTTAGAGGTGGAATATTTTCTTCAAATTTCAACGGGACCACTACTGTGGTAACTCTTTCTAACAGAAAAAGAAACATCGAAATCGATTTACAAAAAAGTGCAGTCGAATTGAGAGCCTCCTCCTTTTACTTGAAGTCGGTTAAAAAGTATTGTCCACGACCGTGCAGCCTATTCAGGAAAATGAATAATCTTCACATTCAATACGCTAGTTCGCGAAAGCAATTAGTTCGCATAAGTCGCCACATAATTTTTGTTAGACAGAAGTTTTATTTCAAAGCAGGACGCATGTTCCTTGTCATTTTCTACAATACCCACCCAGAGCACACAACAACTAACGACTAACAACACGGTTAAAAACATGTTCAATAACCTGATAAGCTACACATAAAGCATTGTTACCATCGTACGAGTTATCGATTTATATTGAAATCGAGTCTATGGCGCCTGCCGCCGTTTGACGTCAAAGATAACAACGAACCTTCTGCCGACGCGGAGCCCGCGAAACCTATTGATTACTCAAATGATTGACTGTTTCTATATCACAAAATACCTGCCACTTAAACCAAGGCTAGAGTCTATTAATATCACGTGGATATAACACTATTAATTTTAATTTACGGAATCTTGTGAAGGCATCTACTAATTCGCATGAAGAGTTACAATTTTTCGTTCATTATGCCAACATCTGACACCCTTGGTGTTGACATAATAAGGCCACATCTGCAAAGTGACAACTTTTGAGTAAATTTCAGGTTAGTTTTCTGCACCTAATTTCTGTGGCAATTTATATTATTGTATATTCTAGAATACTATAGTGAAGTATAATTTCATATTCGAGTGTAGTATCCCGAAATAAAATTTAAGAATGAACATGCTGGCCTACTTAAATAATAAAAATTGCCACCGAAATTAAGTAGTGATTTAAATTTTTATTAAAAAAAATAACCCAACTTCGAAAGTTTGTGGAATTGCATCTATTTGCCAAGTTTTATTGAAAACGGTTAACGTGGTTGAAATCCAATAAACCTCATTTATAGGTACCCTAATTTGCTACCCTTAGAGGTGGAATATTTTCTTCAAATTTAAATGAGACCTATACTGAGGTACCCTCTATCGAACAAAAACGAATCATCAAAATCAATTCACAATGAACGGAGTAATCGTGTAACATACACCAAAAAAACGGACAGTCGAATTGAGAACCTCCTCCTTTTTTTAAGTCGGTAAAAAACTAACCTGAAAATTACTCTTTTCAGGAGAAAAGTTTAAAGATTCTACGAACGAAATTAGTACATTACTTTTTTATGCTCAAATATTAAAATTACAAAATATCACATAATACATAATTTGTTATAAACATGTACATGTAAACACAATAAAAATGTACTTCGTATTATTTATGAGTTTTGTGTGATAAAAAGCAATGTGATCATGTGGCTTTTTTATACCAAGGTACCACTCACGGTTGGACTCTGTATTTCAGTAACTATGCATGCTATCTACGTTTAATAAGGCCCGCAAACGCTACTATACATATACCGTTACCATCGAAGGTACAGTTTGATCGGTACAGTTTATTGCACATTTATATCCACACACCCTATCATCGTAGCCATCTTCATTTCGTTCCGTTCCGCGATTGAGACAGACGATTGTTTAAAGGCTGATGGTTTAATCCTCGCCTAAAGAAAATCGACGCGAAGACTGGCGCCGTCGACTAGTATTATTTATTTTATTTATTATATACTATATTATGTAATATATGGTTCAGATTACAGAAGACATACATAACAATATGGTAAAACACTAACACTATTTATTTATTTACACGTATGGACCGTGACGTGTCACGCAACGTGGGTGTCCGGTAGCTTACCGCACAGTTCATCCGGTTCCGATTTATCTATTCAAAATTCAATGCTGTTCCGTACAGTTTGGTAAAAATTGTATTACAAAACTGTAAAGTTTTCTCATACACACGTTACGATCAAACTGTGCCGATCACAGAACAATAAATACAGTAGGAGTGGTTAGGTAGCGTCTGACGCGTGGCAAGTATAGGTTTGGAAAGACCTAGTTGAGCCCAGTCCGCCATTTTCGCTTTGTATGGTATGGTTATATCATTCTTTCGTCAAATTCAATCAAATTCTCTAAAATAATAATAATAACGCACACACTAAAATCCCAGATAATCCTGTTTTGGAGAGCAAAAATGATAGCTGCACCCTTAGAATGATAACGCAGAGAATGATAGTTTCATATCAAACGAACTGTCACAAGTGAGGCAAAAATCGAATTCATGTAGGTTAGTTTTAGTAGTAGGTTAATTTTCGGTTTTAGTGAATATTTATATAAAAATACATGTTAGTATCTATTTTATGTTTGTCTGACGCATTTTTACACTTATTTACCGTACGTTTAGTAATTTTTAGCTAATATTCTGGAGCTGTTCGCGGTGCAAGTTGACCTTGAGCGCTGAAGGCCCGCCCGCTCGTGTAGGCCCTTTGGGAGCGCTTCAATTTGCCTCGCTTAGCGTGTGCGGGCTAGGTTTCTATGCGTTATTATTCTAAGGCTGCACCAAGGTAAATCTTATTTTAATAAATTTTCAATTTTCTGTGCATCGAAATCATTTTTTGTTACAAGAAATGAAAGTAAAGCTTTTACCCCTGCAATATGATCGCTTCTTTTTTGGAGAACTAAATTAATAACTCCAATTCATCGTCGCACAACAATTAAACGCTAGATGGCAGCACATTGATTGAAATTTCAAAACGTCGTAACTTGCAATAATAGGCATTGAAAAATTGAATTCTCAACAATATGCCAACAGGGTAAAATTTAAATTATATTAACAATCTATAATTTATTATTTCTTTTAAAATTTGAAGCCACGACCAATCATCATCAGATTTTATTAGATAAGATTATAAGAAAAATGAAATCCTTTTATGTACATTTTTAAGACTGTAAAAGCCTAAAATATAGGAATGCAGTAGTCTTGCGTTAAAATAAGTTAATAAAATTGAACAAAATCCAGACTTTATTTAAAATAATAAGAGATTTCCACATTACATTCTTAATTTGTAAGCAATAGGACGTTCGGTAACTTTCATTCGACAAGTGTGTTCTGAATAACGTTTGTCGCTTTTTGCCGGTCGAGAAGTTCGAGTAATCGACGGGATCATTCAGAGTGCAGTCGCGGGCGCGGCGGCGGGTGTTGGCGCGCGGGTCTTTAGCGTCTTCCCTTTCACTACGCTACGAGCGGGTAAATCCACACGTCGAAATCGCAAACAGACGCTAGACGCTAGACCAAGCACTGTGAAAGGTACAGGCGGAACGAGCCAATATATCTATATGCATCCACGCCCGCGCCCACCTCGAGGCAGTCGCCGGCGCGCGCGCGGCCCTATAAACGCAACGAGCGTCAACGTACATGCGACTTACACGCACCTGCGCCCGCTCCCGCGCCCGCTGCCACTCTGAAAAAGGCCGTACGGATGTGAAGTCATTTCGGTTCGGTTTCGAATACTACAGTTTGACCTTCGATTCGGGTGTTACGAAAAAAATGAAAAGAATTCGGTCGACAACTGAGTTATCGTAAGGTTCCGAATCAACCCCCAGGTTCCATAATCAGTGGCTAACTTTTAGTTCCACGCAACCGAGCCGCCGCCCCGTCTCGAATCGCCCCGTAAGAAAGTGCGCTGACCTGATTTCGTGTCCCCCCTCTTTCTCCCTTATCCCTCCCCTTTTGGTCCTGCCAGACACGACGGCGGCTGCGGGCATGATTACGGGCTATTTTATACCGTTTTGCTATATAGTTTTTGTGGGTAAAACCCAAACCGTCCGTCATGTTCATGGGAAAACCAGATATCGATTACATAAGAAAAGTACAATCGTGTACATTTATAGAATAAGTGAGAAAATAATTTCGAAATGGAAAAAGAGCGGAACAATACTTCAATTTAGAAATGGAACTATTTTTTTTAATCCAAAGCGCATATATTTGTTTTTTTTTTTTTAATAAAACAATTCGGACCGATTTAGAAGTTCCTTGGTCACGGCTTGTTTGTTTCAAAAAAGAAATACAAAAATACGCTATTTAGATTCGAAAAGTGTTTAGTCTAATAATCCCGAAAACCGAAGAACTCGATAAATCCTTCAGTTTGTTGGATTCACACTTACAGGGAGTTCTTGCGTTCTTTAAAATTGATGTGATTATTGAAATTTGCTAAAAATCTTTCACTTTTTAAACCCCTTTGATGAAACACCTCTACATTATCTTACGTACTTAAGTGTCAAGTAAATTAAAAATCACGGAACATACAGTAAGTCGCCAATTAACTAGTGTATTCATAAAGTTTATAGACTATAGTGGCCATGTTTCCACAAAGCGCACTTTTTCCCAGACCTTCATCTCTAAAATTCAGTATGTAAGTTCTAATTCCAGTACCATGTGCGCACTAAGTTTAGTAATATGCGACAGCTGTGAACATGTGCTGCTTGCTCACTATTAGGGGGGAAAGAAGGGAGGAAGGAGGTCATGCTCGGTTGCAATATAAGTACTAAAAAACCATAATAGAGCCATTTAGTTTGCGTTGTAAACAGATTTTATTGAAAAAGTTAAGGAAACGATTATCTTTTAGATCTTATTTTTTCTGTTCCTTTTTGTCTAACCCTATACTGTGGATAGTCGAAAGATTCGCATGAAGCCGTTACGCTTCCACATTTATATGGCGAACGGTTATGGAGTGGAACGCCATAACTTAGGCCTTTGTAAGACGAGAGTGAAAAGGTATTATTTAGGTGGGCATGCTGCATCGTCGACCTCATC